TGAATCTTGCTCAGTGTAATCCAAGATTACAGCCCTTCTCATTCATAAATTAGTAAAATGCTGTTTCCAGCTCATGGACTGGTTTCATTTGTTTGTCCTGGGGCATTATAGGTTTGCTCTGTCATAAAGAGGTGGGGAGAGTGGGACAAAGTTGATGCAGAAGGTCCTTTTTTCTCCCCCAGCTCCAGCACCATTCCCTGTGTTCAGGTTTAGCCTGTCACAAAGCTGCTTGGCTGGAATACAGATCTGTCTGACAGCTGTGCCCATCAGCAGACAACTTCATTAAACCTCATTAAGATGTCATTTCTCTGCCTTATTTCCCACCTCTTGGCTCTAATTAAAACCGTCTCTCTCTGCATCCCAGGCGGTCCTAATTTTCTCTGGGTACCTTCTGCAAGTTTTCTCCCTTTACGACCTCAGTGAGGAAAATCACCAACATCTTAAATGCTGTTTATCCAACTCATTTGGAAAAGGCAACTCTAGACTTTTCCTGAAGCATTCCCAGAGTACCCAGCAGAGATCAACACCTCCTCTAAGGGCTGTGAGAGATGTGTGCTGAGGCTTTGTTTGCTCTCACAAATTGTTTTTAAGGATTCAGCTAATGCATCCTTTCCCATTGGACATGATAATGTTCATGGTTTGAACCAGGTGTGTCTGCACTGGGTTTGGAGGGTGCCATGCTCAGACTGGCTGAGAGTGTTTGATCAGTGGGGATACTTTGGCTGGCTGAAAAGTGAGTGGTGTTGGGTGTATTGAGATCTCCCTGACCTTTGCCATGTAGTTTCCAATTTGGGCAGCCCCAAGCTTGAGGCTTGGATTTGTATTTGAGTGTCCCAATGGTGTTGGAAAAGGTTTGCTGCTGAGGAAGAGGAAGGCTCTGAAAGGTGTCTGTTTGTAAGAAGTGGATGCATTGCAAAGGTGTAAAGAAGCACAAAACCTTTAAGGATTCCAGGTTTTGTTGCAAGACTTATTTGTGTCTCATTCCCAGGTATTTATGGCCCAGTGACACACATTGCACCAATTTTCTGAAGATGACTGAGAGGGGTGGGAGACATGTCTGTGCAGAGAGGTACAGGGAGAGATGGAGACATGGATTTTTAATCCCTGCCTCTGCAGCCCTTCACTGGGAGGGAATGCAGGCAAATCCATGAATGCTTTCTGCTCTGACTCAGCCAGGGCTGCCCCATCCCCTCCTCTCTGGCTCTGCCCCGTGGACACCTGCAAACTCTGTGCCGGTGCATTTCCAGCCTGCCAGGCCCTGCCTCCTTCCTACCTTCTGTTCCCCCTTTCATTACACCCCCTTGTACAGTAAAGCCTCCCGTCATGCTGCCATTACTATTATTATTGCAGATTTACTGCACTTGCAGAGTGAAGTGATTGCAGTGACAAGGCCCAGCATTTTTCCCTCCTTCCCCCCCGCGACAGCTTGAAATCAAGCCCTTCATTTGCATTTACATGATCTTGCTGTGCAGCTTATGAGATCGGGAGATTTATTTGCTACTTAGCTTGATGTTTGATTACACTCTAAGAAGGCAGTGAGCTACAAAGTGCAGGGATACATCAGAACTGAGCTACTGAAAGCCTCTGGGGGACAGTAACTCAACATCAGGTTTAGGTAGATGAGAAAGGGAATGTTCAGTGTTTTGAGAGAGGCAAATTTGATGAGATTTTTTTTTTTAAAGGTGGAGGGAAAAACTTACTTTCCCTCTCTCACAAGAAAAAGGAAAACAAGAATGTTGTTATAACAACACACCTGAAAATCTGGATTTGTTAGTGCAGAAGAGATCCTAGCAGGAGCTGGTGGCTGCTGGGCTGCCTACTGCTAGCTTCTTGTAACTTTACTCCCAGGAAGATTATTAATAGTAAGTTGGCAGTTATCTTTGAAGAATTTCATAAGCATTAAAGGTCAAAGTCAGTTTTCCTTGCTGGACCACCACAAAATCCATTGCTGATTTATTAAGCTTCAAAACATGCAACTGAGCATTAAACCTCTGTCATAGTGGGGAAACTGAGGCAGGGAACAAGTGTGCCCATCCAGGACAGCAAAGGGAAAGGAGTCTGGGGAGAGAAGTGAACCATTGCCAGTAATCTGTGTTCAGAGTGGGAGCCCAGATTATTCGTGTTGCAGAGAAAAGGGTGATGGCTGGGCAAACTGCTGTCCTTGGAGTCAGGAATGGCAAAGCTTGAGGATCTTACTCCTTTCATTACAAATACTCCAGACAGGGCACACACACTGCTAACCCAGACTATGTCTACATACAATCTGCACTAACCTATGCTCCTGCCTGACCTGCACTGGGAGCTGTAGCCTGATTAGACACCAACCTTTGAGTGTCAGGTCTAAATCTGAAAGATTTTCCCCACTAGGAGCTATGTTTTATGGAACACCAGCACAGAGGTGTCTCCCCTGCTGGGTTAGACACAGGAGGTAAATCAGGCAGGCAGCACTTCCAGCCCAGGTGGTACCTACCCAACCCCAGGCACCAGTCTGCCCCTTCCCATCTTCTCTGCACCAACAGCCAAGGGGCACACACACGAATCCCTGGCACAGAAACCCCTGGGAGGGAAGACACCCGTTATCTGATAC